TCTTTAACGCTGGATGGTGTGTGTCACTGTGGCAGCTGACTGACCGCAGATAAGCAGCTTTACAGCTTAGAGCCACATCTGTGTGTGTGTGTGTGTGTTTTGTATGTGTGTGTGTGTGTGTGTGTGTCTGTGTGTGTGTGTGTGTGTGTGTGTCTGTGTGTGTATGACAGAGATATAATGATGATCTTATCCCCGTTGACAGATTTTGTTTGCTTGTTTCCGTAATAAGATTTCGCGCTGTAAAAGACCAAATGAGTGGTGGTTCATTTTCTTAATATTGTTTTTGTCTGAAACGCCTCCGATGTACTCCCTCTCGCACTGCTATTGGCTAGCACTCCAACACATTGTACGTGATAGGCTAAGGGGCGGGACATCTATAAGCGGTTGACCAATCACAACAGAGCCGGCCAGCTAACCAATCAGAGCAGACTAGGCTCTGGTTTCAGACAGAGGGTGAAAAGAGGTGCTGCAGCACAGGCAGTATGAGAAAAATAAAGAGCTTTTTGAACATTAAAGCATGGAGACATGTAGAGACACTACATACTGATATACACCTGAACATCAGCAGGAGAGGACTCTTTAAAGTAGAGACACTACATACTGATATACACCTGAACATCAGCAGGAGAGGACTCTTTAAAGTAGAGACACTACATCTGATATACACCTGAACATCAGCAGGAGAGGACTCTTTAAAGTAGAGACACTACATACTGATATACACCTGAACATCAGCAGGAGAGGACTCTTTAAAGTAGAGACACTACATACTGATATACACCTGAACATCAGCAGGAGAGGACTCTTTAAAGTAGAGACACTACATACTGATATACACCTGAACATCAGCAGGAGAGGACTCTTTAAAGTAGAGACACTACATACTGATACACACCTGAACATCAGCAGGAGAGGACTCTTTAAAGTAGAGACACTACATACTGATATACACCTGAACATCAGCAGGAGAGGACTCTTTAAAGTAGAGACACTACATACTGATATACACTCTGAACATCAGCAGGAGAGGACTCTTTAAAGTAGAGACACTACATTACTGATATACACCTGAACCTCAGCAGGAGAGGACTCTTTTTAAAGTAGAGACACTACATACTGATATACACCTGAACATCAGCTGGAGAGGGACTCTTTAAAGTAGAGATACTACATACTGATATACACCTGAACATCAGCAGGAGAGGACTCTTTAAAGTAGAGACACTACATACTGATATACACCTGAACATCAGCAGGAGAGGACTCTTTAAAGTAGAGACACTACATACTGATATACACCTGAACCTCAGCAGGAGGAGGACTCTTTAAAGTAGAGACACTACATACTGATATACACCTGAACATCAGCAGGAGAGGACTCTTTAAAGTAGAGACACTACATACTGATATACACCTGAACATCAGCAGGAGAGAACTCTTTAAGCTTTAAAATAAAATAAATTATCCATGTTTTTAATAGTTTTCTTTCTAATGAAGCATTTTGTGTTGGAATAAATCTTAAAGATAAGCAACTGCTTCAAAGGTTATAAGCAAACAAAGCATCAGGACTCTGTAGGGCTTACAGCTGTCAACATATAGCTTAACATGCTGTTAGCCACAACACGTAGTCACGGTTTATGTAACAGATTGTGACTGTGTTGCATGTTGGGCTTTTGTTTTAGAACATATTTATTTATTTATTTAGGACTTATGGGAGGTTATATAAGAGCTCCTTTTATCCACTGCAATGACATATTAAACTGTGACTTTGAGACGTATTAAAGGCAGTTTTACACACTTCAAATGTTTGTAGATATCAATACTTTTATATATATTAGTCAGAATTTTGAAAGAGAATCTGAAATGTCGGAATTCTGAAAAAAAGTCAGAAAGTCCGGAATTATAAAAATAGTTAGATTTTGCAATAAAAGTTATAATTAAGGGAAAAGTCAGAATTCTGATTAAAGAGCCAGAAAGTCAGAATGTTGAAAAAAAAGGTCAGATTTCTGATTGTAATCTCTTAACCCAAAATCAAATCACTTTTGGTCAGAATAGGGTCACAACGCGTGGCCCTAATCCTCTTTTGTCCCTCAATTGTATTATTTTTTGCTGCTCAACAACTTGATAACTTATTTTAGATGAAAAGTATGTTTGATTTTGAAAACCTCTACAGTCACTTTGTATAATCCACTGTGCTGTGTGTCCACTTGTAAATTCAGAGAGAACATTAATTGTGTCGGTTTCATTTGTAAGACTTCAATCAGATATATTGCAGTTATGGCATTAAAAAAACTGAACTTCCATAGTTGCATGATTTAAAAAATAAAAAGGGTGGGGATTTGGACAAACCATGAAATAAGTCATCCAATAGATTGTGTAGGACACTGGCAGCACTTTGCATAAAGCTTATCCTTAACATGTAGCTTATGCTTTCAGAAACATCAACAGTGACCTCTGACGGGCTTTATGGAGGAGCTGAATTATTTATAAGCGCTGCATTTAGGTCACATCGCATACATTGTACATACTGTGTTTTAATACTTGGAGTTCATCAGGTCGACTCTTTTTCATTTGCATTTCATTCACGTGATGAATTTGCATGGACTCACCATCTTACATAATTGTATCAGAGTTTATAAAATATAAAAAGCCTTTGAAAATCAGATGTTTTAAAAGGCTTTTTGCACAAAAGATTGTTTTGCCAAAGGAAATGAAAGTCCGAGGCTCATGAAACCAGAAAGACAAATCATAAAACATATCAAAGCATTATGAATACAGTAGTCCATATGTGTATTGTGTTTGTAGTGGCAATCAAACTTTCCATAAGTCACTACAGAGCAGGGTCGATGACACGTAACGTAAAATAATAAGCAGCAGCATGTTTAAAAAAAAAAATCAAAAGACTTAAAAAAACTCTAAATTAAACGTATTTTATTTAAAAATAACAAAACCTAACCTCAATCTCCCTCACTTAAATAAACTCCCTACATACAGTTGCAGAGATGACCAAAGGGGTGTTCATAACCATTTTATGAAACACAGGCATGCTTAACAGGCTGATAATATAAACCATTTTTCATTAAACATTGATTAAGTCAAGTCAATTAATCAATTATTTATATAAATATTCGGTTTGAGGTCATTATGGCTCCTACAGTGAGTGCACTGTGGTTGTCTAATGTGTGTATGCAGGGAAAGTATAATTAAGCAGACAATTAAGTAAGGATAATGACCAAGTCGCTGCACATTATCCCGCTTTCTAAAGTAATGACATGGACTCCCAATATTAATTGAAATGCTTTTATTGATTATTCATTATGTCAAACCTTGGAAAGTATCTAGATATCCCTGCCCTATTTCTTCGCTGCGGACTCATCAGCCACTAACCATTCATCCAAATTACTGTGCCTCTCCAAATATATTAAAATGAATATTAAAATCCTCCATGTGCTCTCACACGGGAGAAAACGGAAAACTAAGACAAGCAAACCGTTTGCTTTTCGGCCCAAACTGTTTACAGTTCAATCGACCGGACTTCTTTCTGCAGATGTGAGCGTCCTTAACAACGGTCAATAAGTCCTTGACAGCGGTCTGTCTGTACTGGATAACAACGTGTCACGTGTTCTGAATTGACCAATCAGAATCCAGTATTTCAACTAAGCCATGTAATAAGACATGCTATCTTTTTTTATTAGTTTTTTTGCAGACATGGCACTTTCAGGACATTAAACAAAGTACAGAACAATTAGTCTGTTAAAGGAAATCAAAATACCCATCCCCTGTCCATTAGGTCATGGTCACAGTAAATAGGAAACAAAGAAAGAAATAATTAATAAAATAATAAATACACTAAATAAATAACTCGCATCACAAAGTCACAAGTAGCAGGAATACAGCAAATTCACATTGAGTAAAATAATAAATAACAAACAAATTATGAAGACATGGAGGAGAACAATAGGCCACGTCAGTGTCAGGGGGTAATAGTGAGGTCATTTATAAACAACAGTAAAGGGTTCCAGGTCTCGTGGGACGGGTTCTAAGGATCCTTTTAGCGAGAATCTTAGCTTCTCAAGATGAATTGCTCTGCAGAAGTTCCTGTATCAAGTGGAGTGGAGAGATTCAGCAGATTGTTTTGCACTGAACACGTGGCTTTCAGCTGCCTTGGTACTGACCATTCTGTCCATTTTATTGACCATTTTAACTTTTTCTGGGACCGCAGACATCTTTTTAAGGCAGATGGAGTTTGCCTGAACAAGTCAGGAGACAAGTTGTTTGTCTCTAACATATTCAACTGCCTGCGTCATCAATCTGTTCCCTCTGCCAAGGACAAGCGGCAAGAGGAATCAAAACAGGTGAAAGACACAACACATTGCGCAGAAAACCCTGAAGAAGTATCACTGCACCCGCCTGAGGAATGTTTTGATTATGGGAGACCTATGACACAAATGGAGGAGTATCCACCGCCATTCACCCCCCCTGTCAACGCCTTTGAGGATACTCTTCCTTCATCCCCCAGCTCTCTCTACTCTCCGCTCACCCTTTCACCCTCGCCCACCCCCCTGGAGTTCGACCACATGAAGGATATACAGAGGGTTGGCACCAAGTCCTTCCTGGAGATCAATGACTGCATTAAGGCAATACGCAGGGCTGGCAGCATGTCCTTTAAGTGACTGGCAAGAAAATATCTCCATGGAGAAAGGCCATGACCGTGAAAACAGAAAAAAGAGAGTGTCGAAAAGCCGTGTCCGGTCTACGGAGAGCATTTCAACGTAGAAAAACGTTTACCCATTTAAACAGTCGTGGTAGATACCTTGTTTGTTTTAAACATCATAAATACACAAACAACAATGAATACTTACAGGTTGTGTACCCGAATCTCCCGCTGGTCCAAACACAGTAGGAACAGCATCGTTCTTCAGTGCCCTACGCTGTACATATCCGGCATGAATCGCTGAAAGGTTTGGGAAGCTTTGTTTCGTGAAAGGCTGGCAGAGGGT